GGGCACGTGTGTGTGTGTGTGTGTGTGTGTGTGTGTGCCCAAGAGGAGAACTGAAGAGAAGGGATTGTGTCATGGCTATCCCCCCTCGGGGGTGATTTCTTGCTTTCTGTCTCTCTGTTTCTCTCTGTCTGCCTGGCGAGAGCACACGTCCTATAGCAAAAACCTCTCCGAAAAAAAAAAAAGAAAGAAAAAATAGAAAATCACACTAAGAGCCCAAGATCCAGGAAGGAGAATGGAGGACAAGGGGTTGTGGTGTGGTTATCCCCCTTGGGAGATGATTTCTCAATTTTCCTCTCACCATCTCTCTTTCTCTCTCTGGTGAGCACACACATCCTAAGGAAAAGAACCTCTTAATTAATTTTAAAAAAAGATACATTATATAGTTTTGGGGAGTGATTGGTACTGTAGGAAAAATAGAGATACAGAGATACAGAGTACTTTATAATCTTGACTATTTAAATAGATTCCATTTGAGTTGAGACCAGGATGAGATTAGGGATAAAGCTTTCTGAATAATCAGGAAAAAGTATCTCCTATAGAGAAATCAGGTAATACAAAGACCTTGAGGTGGGACTGACTTGACTGAGGGAGAATGAGGAGCAAAGTGCACCTGGAGTTGACTTTGTGGAGGGACAGAGGTAGACAACGTGAGTGTGAGAAGTAGGCATGGACTGTCATGGCAGGCTTTGTGGACTTGGCAACAGTTTCAGATTTCGTTCTACAGGTGATGCAGAGCTCTGGACATTTGTGACTTTATTTACATTTGTCAGGTCCCTCACACTTTGAGAAAAACAGATTAGAGAAATCCAAGAGAAACAGGGAGGTGTTAGTGGGAATTTAGTCAAGAAGTGTGAGAATAATTACTCTTGAAATTAGGCAGTACTAATGCTGTAAAGTGGTCATCTTTCATTATAAAATTTGAGAGTAGAATCAATAGGAATTGTTTATAATTTTGATAGAATGTATAAAAGAGAGAGAGGAATAAGTATGAATCCTAGATTTTTAGCCACAGCAACTAGAAGATTGATAATGCATTTACTGAAATTAATAAGTAATGGGACGACATAGTTAAGTTTTGTGGTGGTGGTGGTGGTTCAAGTAGAACAAGAGCTCTGTTAAAGATACCCCAGACCTTCTCATATGGTCTCAGCCACGGGGAGCATTGTGTCACCACTGCATCACCAAGGCTGTCCCCAAGGTCCTGCATTCACAGGGGCCATGCCTTTGGTTTAGAGTCACATTCAGCTGCTCAGGCACAGATAGGAAGCGTGCAGAAAAGTGTGTTAATGAGGAGAGTGCTATGGGGGAAGAAGGAGAAGGTAGAGCCTAGGGAGTGTTGTAGTGATGGACTACAGAGTCCAAGCTGAGTACCATGAGAATTGAGCTCAAAAAAGAGTAGTCACTGATCATGGAAAAGTATCTGGGGAGTTAAAGACATGATGGAGAATGTGTGCTGGAGAAAGTCCCTATGAGTCTCATACAGCTATGGTCCCACTAGACATCACTAGACATAACATGTGGTAAGGAGGGTGGATACTGAAAACAAGGACTATGAAAGAGTAGCAGTTGCTGGTGATAAGTTCTACAGTTTGACAATAGCAATGGGGAAGGCAAAGAGGGAACAAGGGAAATGTGCTTTCTTTCCCTTTTCTACTTTTTAAAAAATTTGCCAGTGGGCATTAGAGAGAGGGAGAGAAAGAAAGCAATAAAGTACCCCACCCCCATGAGGCATAGCCACCTCACAATCCCTTCTCCTCCATTTCTGCCTCCTTCCAAAATCTTTGAGGTCAGTATCCACCCTCTCCACCACATCGTTTGTCTAGCTCGCTTTCTATGGCACTCAGTCTCCGACATGTCTTTAACTCCCCAGAATTACTTTTCCATTATCAGTTACTACACCTCATAAGCTCACTTCTCATAGCACACACCCAATCCGGGACTTGACCACCAGGCTATGGGCTGCCCCAGGAAATAATGTTGACAGTAAAATGGGTAAGAAACTGAGAGTCTAATCTATTATACAGATTAGCTTGATGGCTGTTGAAAATGCCAGGAACTAAGTAAGACAGAGTTTGTCTTACTTTCTGTAAGACGAAAACCAATGGCAGTTTCAAAAATCTGTCTTTCAAGTATCTGCTGCTTTCTGTCTGACTCTGAGCACTCAGCTGGAAATAGAAATCTGAGTATCCCTGAGCATCACCAGGAAGAACCTTAGCCCTAACAAGTCCCCACAGCCCTTCAAAAAGTGGAATCCCATGCGCTGGAGTCCCACACCCTGCTGGGCTGTCCGACTCACCACAGAGCAGCAGCAGGAGCCTCAGCAGCATGAGGACCGGGTAGAGGAGAGTAATGGAGATGCTGCTCACCCAAGACAGAATATACCTCAGAGTCGAGAGGCAGCAGCTTGTCAGAGGCTTGAGGAAGTCAGCATCAGTAGCTACCTTTCAGTACAAGTTTACAGAAATAGAAGAAGGAAGAAGAACCCTCAATGACCAATATCTATATCCTCTCTGATGGAGACTGAAAAAAACTAAAGATGCTTCTTTTATCATTTGGTTTAATTCTATAATGTGGAAATAATACACATCAGTATATGAGGGTCTTCTTCAAGAACTCAGGTATTGCAATGAAAGTTTCCCAAAGGCAGTTTCTGATTTTTTTCCCTTTAGAGATAGCATTACTCAGGAGAGAGACAGAGAGAGAAAGTGAGAAAGCACCTCCCATGGGACATGGTCATGCCCCAATCCCTTTTCTTCCATTTTTCCCGTTTTTTAGGATTTTGGACATGCACCTAGTGTATTTTTTAAGCCACAAGGTCCAAGACTTGAACCATGTGCTTTGTCAAGGGAAGTCCAGTTGCCTTAAGCACCACACCATGGAGCCAGCTTGGAAGATTCTGACTTTACTGAGTCTCATAGAGCTACGGTCCTTCTGAATTTCAAATGGCATATTTTTCAAAATTCAAAAGGAGGTCTCCTTGACTATGTTTAACTGACACATCTCTGTGTCTCTGCAGTTTCTATGAGAGTTGCACTAAGCAAACATGTCATTAAGCCAGGGACAGATGTGGCTGTCACCTAGGTTCTATGTAGTGTCTGACATTGTTGCATATGATGATTTGCACAGGATCAAGCTATTCACAGACATACAAGCTCCATATTGAAACTTTCAGTGTACCAGTGCATGAGCATGAAACAGTTGAAAAATAATCAGGGGGACCAGCAGTTAGCGTAATGGCTATGTCGCTGGACTTCCATGTAGTCGACTGTGGTTTGCGTCCCGGACTCGGTGGCTTAAAACTCACGCTGGGTGCATGTGCGTGCATGCCCAAGATCCCGAGAGGAGAATGGAAGAGAAGGAATTGCGGTGTGGCCATGCCCCCTGGGGGGTGATTTCTTGCTTTCTATCTCTCTATCTCTCTCTGTCTGTCTGGCAAGCGCACGTGCCCTATAGCAAAAACCTCTCCAAAAAGTATATACATATAATCAGGGATATGTGAAAATGAAATAATGGAAAATAAACATATAAATAGCTTCTGGGCATCTGGGAAGAGTTCACCATGAGTACTAATTCTGGCATTGTGATATTGCCTCTCCCTCCCCTCACCTCAAATCAGGATATCTGTAATCTCTCAGTTGCATCTTTTAGCACAGGGGTCCCAAACCCCCAGTACCAGTCTGTGGCCTGTTAGGAAGTGTGGATAAAGTGTCTTCCACAAAACTGGCCCCTGGTACTAAGAAAGTTGAGGACCACTGCTTTAGCATACTGGAGCTACCAGTTCTTGGCACTTGATGCTTTTATGCATTTCAGATTATAGATTAGAGTTGAGCATGCCATCTTGATTTTCTTCTTTTTAAATTTTATTTATTATTATTGTTGTGGCTTATACATTTGATCACTATACATCATTTGGTTCATAAAGAGAATTCACTCAGCATGAAATACACCTCACAGCAGTTGAATACTATACACGCTATCATCAACAGGTAATTAACCATTACTGTGTCCCACAAATGTCTTGCCTTTCTATTTCCCCCCCTAATTTCCTTCCCTATACTCTTCCCCTCTTCTACCATCCTTCTACACGATCTCCAGTTTTGAGCACATAGAATTAAGAATAGCCAGATAGGCACCGGCAGGCGGCATAGTGGTTAAGGCACTGGACCCCTATATGGCCAGCTGCAGTTCAAGTCCTGGACCTAGCAGTTTGAAAATCATACTGGGTGCATGTGTGTATGTGCCTGGAGAGGAATGAAGGAGACGAGCTTGCAGCATGGCCATCCCACTGAGGAGTGATTTCTCACTGTCCCTCTCTGTTTCTCTCTGGCAAGGCATACACTCTATGTCAAAAGCCTTAAAAAAAAAAAAAAAAAAAAGTAGGACAACATGATGGAAGCTAAACTAGGAGGTGACATGGAAAGATGTATTCAATAATGATATCCACATCCAGATAGCAAATCCAAAATTCTTCAGGCATTTTTTGGATTTTTTTTTTAATTCTCTGAGGCAAGGTGTTAGGTTGCCCATTTCACATCTTTCCATCTTTTCCTTATGTGCACTAATTGTTACGAACTCCCTCTTAATGACTGCTTTAGCTGTGCCCCCAAAATTATGGAAGCTTGTGTACTCATTATCATTGGTTTCCATGAATCTTTTGATTTTTGTCTTAATTTCTTCAGTATTTGTAAAGTAATTCAGGAGTAGGTTGTTTAGTTTCCATATGTTTGTGTATTTCTGTGAGTTTTTTCTGAAATTAATATCAAGTTTAAGTCCATCACGGTTGAAGATGATGTTGGGGGGGGAGGGGCAGGGAAGGATGGAACTCTCCTGATTCCAGTTAACATACCTGAGAGTTCCAAGAAGTGTGGAACAGTCTCTCTGCAGCTCCAGCTACCTGCTGCTAGGAAGTCCAAGATTAAGAAAAGAAATCAGCAGTCCATATGATGCGAAAAACTGGAGTGAAAATGGAGCCATTGCGGAGCCAAGCTAACGGCCCCAGGGAGATTGCTTTGCTGAATACAAGGCACTTAGACCCACACCTTTCCTTACAGGCTTGGGGAAGCCTATGCGGAGGGATAAGTTTGCCTAGTTTACAGTTTCAGGACCAAGGCAGAAAATTCCCATGGAGAACATGAAGCCCTCTAAACCTAGGGTTCCAAACTGGTTTTGTGTATATGTCTCTTTTCCATGGTTGTGGGTGTCCTAATTCCTGTTCCTTCACAAATACGATGGAATATATCAATATAATTAATTTTTGTATATTACTTTTGTATCCTCCCCAGATATGAAGGCTGTATATTATTTGTTAAGCTCTCTCATAATTTTATTTTAAAAATATAGGTGATACATGCATACTAAAAAATGTATTGGGTCATCGGGAAAGTCGTGACCCATTTTTGCATAGAAAAAATATGCCATGACTTTTCTGATGACACAATAGTATAAACATAAATTATGGACTAATTATGAATAGTCCATAATATGTATGTTCATGTTTATGAACATAAATATATTTTGTTCATATAAATGAATATAAATTATTATATACTGTGATAAAATAAAACATCATGAACCCACCCACTGTTCAGTTGACTAATATCAATGCATCTACTATCGCATGTACTTAGTATACCTTTCTTTACCGACTCACTAAATGTTCTCCAGAAGCAATTGCCATTCTGAATATCTTGTCTATATTTCTCTTATATTAAAATATCATCGTACTGAAATATAATTAATATACATCAAAATTAATCCATTAGAGCGTCATGCAACAATTTTTGACAAATGTGTCCACTGATGTAAATACAATCACAGTCACTATCTATAACATTTCCACCATCTCAGCAGCCTTCCCCGTACACCTTTCCAGGCACCCTAAACCTCCCAGAACTAGGCAACTGTTAGTCTGTTTTGCCACTACCAATTAGATTTGCTTATTCTAGGGTTTCTTGTAAGTGAAAATATGTAATGTTTACTCTTTTGTTCCTAAGGTCTTTCCTTCGGCTAATAATTTTTAGATTAATCTATGTATTATGAGTATATGCTATAAACATTCATGTGCAAGTGTCGAGTAAATACGTAAGAGCAGTTTTTTTGTTTTGTTTTGTTTTTGTTTTTGTTTTTGTTTTGTTTTTTTAAGATAGGGTGTGAGTTCTTGGCAGAAACAGACAGAGAGAGACAGTGAGAGGGAAACTGAGAAACCATCCCCTCAGGGGGTATGGCTATGCCACAATCCCTTCTCCTCTATTCTCCTCCTGGGATTTTGAGCACGCACAAGTCTAGGACTTGAACTGTAGTCAACTACACGGGAGTCCAGCGACCTAGCCATTACACCATCTGCTGGTCCCAATAATGTAGTATGTTTTTCTATGCAAAAATGCATCATAACTTTTCTGATGACCCAATATATTGATATTTGAATGTCAACTAAACCTAACATTTCTGGAACAAAGGTATTTTGAACATGACACATTATCTTGCTTATATATCACTGGATTTGATTTACTAATATTGTGTTACAAATTTTTAAAAATTCTGTAGGGTGCATGTACTTGCAGAAGAGATAGAGGGAGGGAATGTGAGAAAACCCTCCTCCTGCCCCCGAGAGAACAGTTATGCTGAAATTCCTTCTTCTTCATTCTCCTCTTGAGATTTTGGGTATGCATGCAAACAGGGCCAGCATGTGTTTTTAAACACTGGATTCTGGGAACCAGCAGTTAGCGTAATGTTTATGTCGCTGGACTCCCACGTAGTCGACCGCGGTTCGAGTCCTGGACCCGGTGGCTTAGAATTCACGCCAGGCACTTGTGCGTATGTGCCCAAGATTCCGAGAGGAGGATGGAGGAGAAGGGATTGCGGCGTGGCCATCCCCCCTGGGGGGTGATTTCTTGCTTTCTGTCTCTCTCTGTCTGTCTGGCGAGTGCACGCGCCCTATAGCGAAAACCTCTCAAAAACAAAACAAAACAAAACACTGGATTCCGAACTCAAAACACACAGCTGGCCATGTGAGATCTAGACTTCTCAACCACCACACCACTGGGTGGCCCAAGTGTTAGGAATTTTTAATCTTTGCTCATAAAAGATCTTATTCTGTGGTTTTCTTTTCTTGTAATGGCTTTATCTGGCTTTAACGTCAAAATGGAGTGCAAAGAAATCGCCCTAGCTAGGGCTTGTCATAGTAAAGATGAAACATGTCAAGCAAATAAGCAGTTTAATAAGAAAGTGTCAAGAAGGGACCACATTTATTCTAATAACTCACCTTTCTCTAGAAGATGTAGAGTCACTGACCCAGTAAGGGATGTGCCAGAGACAAGAACCAGGCAAGCATGCTACATTATAATCTGGATAATATTGTAAAGGAGAAGAGGACAGTATATGCATTATATTTTTGAGAGAGGATCAAAAAT